CTGGGCAGCTCCAATGCGTCGGGCGCTATGTGACGGACGATCGAGACCCGCCGATGCTGCGTGCTTGAGCGGTCCTCTCTGGATTTCGTTTCATCTTTTGAGAGCGCCTTTTATGGAACGAACAGGACACACACCAGGAGTCTCTTACTTTCTCTTCTACGACACTGTCGTCAGACTTTTTCCGTCGACAGTGTACGACAGGAGACGACAAGTCACAAGAGAGAGAATCTCTCAGACGACAGTTGGACAGAACCGCCCGAGAGAGGCCCCGAGAGTGCGCGGAGAGTGCAGAGGGAGTCGAGCGAGACCGTCACCGAGAGACAGTTCCGGAGGCGAAGCTGCTGCGCGAGGAGGGCGAGCGCAAGAGGGGGCGCGATGGCGCGGTGGAGCGGGACACAATGGGAAACCCTCGTTTCCTATGAACTCGGTCCCCCAATGGAAGAGGCCTCGCTCCTATTAAATTGGAACTGGCCAACATCAGATTTGCCTCGTGCGTCCCTTTTTGAGTCGGAAAGCTATTTTCTTTTGGGTCCTGTGGGCACCTAACGGGGCAGCTCGTTCCATAAATAGAAGAGATGGGCGATGCACGAACACAGAGGCACAGCGCGGCCCCGCTAGGGATTGGCGCGTTCGGAGCCCTGGGCGTTTGGAGCCCTATGGGACCTGGCGAGGTGCTCCCACGCCTCTCGGGGTTTTTGTCTGGCCGAGTCTGCTGGGGCGAGCCTCTGGCGAGACTGCGTCAGCTGTTCCCACAGCAGGCTGGAAGTACCTCGCCAGTATGGGACGCGAAGCGACCGGGCGCGGAATCAAAACTGCTAAAGCAGAGAAAAAGAAAAGCAGCCAGACCGCCCGACAAACTCAATGTCGGCCAGCGCCGCTCCGGTCGCGGTGCAGCGTATCGCTTCGGGCCCGACGGACACAGAGGTGCTCCTGTGGACGTGCCAGGAGATGTACGTGTACCAAATACCCCCGCTGAAGAACGAGTCGGGCCACCGCGCAAACGACTGGGACGTCAACAAGTGGCTCTGGTCGGGCAAGCTGAGTGTGTTCAGCATCGGAAACGTGGTGCAGGTGCGGCTGACCGACCCGACGAGCGGTGCGCTCTTCGCCATGTGCCCGGTCAACGAGCCCGGCTCCAAGGCCATCGACCCCGTCGTTGACTCGTCGCGCTACTTTG